AGTGTGTGTTTCTGTGCACTAACAGCAGACTTTGAGCAGAACTGGACAGCCCGTCTGTTACTGATAGGAGACTTACTCCCCTGACAGTTCCTGAGAGGAGCTGCTGATAGAACATCCCATCTGGGTGACCTTGATCCAACCCGAAGGAACTTATCTCAGCTCCTCTGACAACATGCACCTATCAGTTAAGTGTCTGTTTGGATATAAAATAAATTTCTCTGAAATTGTGACAGTTGTGCTCTCTCATGTATGATTCAAAGGACATATGTGGACCAAATGCAGAATGTTTTTTTTTCTTCCTAGTACCCGGGAACACCTTTTGAAACATCAAAACCACAAATCTGTCACTCAGAATTTTGTTAATGACTCACTTCTATTGTAAAAATGTTTATTCTTCATAACATGTTTTAAAAACCTTGTTTCTTGGAAAAATTCCTCTTATGCAAAAATGCATGGTGATGACTGAAGCATTTGGAAATGGCTGGGGCTTATGAGTGGTTTCAAAGAAAAAAAAATACCAAAAGAGTTTTCTGGAACAAAACATAACCACAAGGTTGTCATTCAGAACATTTACTCACTTGTTTTAAAGTGGAATTTCATTTTTAAAGCATTTTTCAAAATGTGAGAGGCTGATTATGTTTTATCTAAATGCCATTTATAAAGATTAATATGTAAAGTGAAAGCACACACGGTTTGCTTTTGCAGGAAAAGACTGTTTAATACCAGCGTCTCCCTGAGCACAGTGCAATTAAAATCCAACTCTCTCCAGGAGTCCATAACATGCTGGGTTTACTGACAGCCAGCAGAGCTCAAATGGCCAACAGAGTAGGGCGGTAAGTTTTATGTGAGGAGCAAAGCAACACAAAGATGGAAAATACGATCATAGAGGTTGCACTTCAGGCAAATGAATATTTTTCAGATCCTGCGAGAGGCAGGCAGATGCTGTTAAAAAAGGCGTCAGTCATTTCAGTGTCACTCTAATTGTGAGCTGGAACACTTGCACAGAGGCATTTTTTTAAAAGTAGATTTAATTCCATTAATTATTGCCCTTTCTTGTCAGCAGTAAAATGTATAATCTCCAGTCATCAGAGTACTGACTCCAGTAATTGAGGCTATTGATCAGTGATATGTAGTGAGAAACATCTGCATAACTTCACTGGGTAAAATCTTCTACAAGTAGTTTTAAAACCACATGCTGTCTGTGTAAAATGATATAGAAAGTATCTCAAATATAAAACACCTTCCAAAACAAACACAAACCTTGGCAGATTCATTTAACTAGTATGTACAATATGACAGCTCACTTTCAGTCCTGCTGTGAAGAGTTGGCTTCAATCATCAAACCAAAATAATAAGCAGTTTTTCTTCGTGCCATACTTATCCAAAATTGTCTTCTGCAAGTCTGTTAGAGAGCCCCATCCCACCCCAAATTGAAGTTATCTACAGGTTTGTATTTGAGAGAACTCTTTAAAATTTATAAAGTTAGATAGCTGGTAAAAGTTGATCTGAGGACTTGCTTGCATTTAAATACAACACAAATGGGATCAAAATGACACAGGCAACAGGAAGCGTGGCCGTCTGACTCAATTGTGGGGGATGAAAAGACACGCTAAAGAACTTTGGGAAATGTTGGGTCAATTGACTGAGGTCAGTTTTGTCAGTTGTACTTTATTCAGCTTATGTCATAAAGGTTAAATGGAAATAGTTGTACATAATGATTACGAAATAATGATGTAACCACTCTGCAGTTTCTGTTTAGAAAAACTCCCTTTGTCTTTTTTTTTCACAGTCTGGGCTTGTTAAGGAGGAGTATTCTTTCTGCTGTTCTTAAGATTCTAGACAAGTAAGATAGTAATGATCATTGCATCAAACGTGAGTCTATAGATGTTACACTGTGGATAAAAAAGTACGAGTTAGAAAAAAAAGAACATATTAACTTGATGTTGAACAGAATATGTTGGGCATTTTTAGCTGCAGGAACAAAAATGACTATTTTGAGCTGAAAAAAGTGAATCAGTGAACAAATAAATAAAAAGGCAGAAACAAATTAAATTCAATATATTGGGACTTCTGTTTTGTGTCTATTTAACAATTTAAATCTAGATCTGGCTGATTTAATGCATAATGAAAGGGTTAATAATTTATCTCCTGCTTCTGGTGCTCCTCCTGCGTCTGATGTGTTCATATTGTCCTAAGTACACTATGTTCTGAACTATAAGAAAGTGTTTCTTTTTTGGTCTGTGAGTTTGTCTTCTGTTCTCKCTCTTAATATAAAAAAACAACAACCCCACATATGGCTATCAATAACCACAGTTTAACAAGCACATACAGTCAGTCATTGACGATGCAGAATCATCTGGTAAACACGCTCGCTCCTGCTGAAATCAGGTCATTTATTCTCTGCAGTGGTGTACCCGCTTTCYGTCTCACTTTGATGCTGACTTTCACTTTTAGAATAAAACTCCTTGTGTTTTTTGCAGGTTCCCACAAACGTGACCTTGTCCTGAACTCAACAGTAGGGAGACAAAAAGGCAAATGGTTTCACAACAGAAGCAAAACAGACAAAGAGAAAAAGAAAAAAAAAAAATATATATATATAT